AACAACAACAACAACAACATACTGGCCTACGTTCCCCACCTTTCCCACTGCCCAGGGTCACTGCTCATGCCTGGGGAGTTACACAAATAGCAGAAACCGTTTCATGAAATAGCTCTGAATGCATCTGCAAAGAGCCTTGGTAGTGTAACAGATGAGCGTTCAGCTTCAGACTAAAAGGGTGGAGGTTCGAAGTCGCCCAGAGCAGAGGCTTGGAAACCCGCACCACTTAAAGAAGATGGCCTGCGAAACCCCACGGGGTGGGCATTAAACAACTTGTTTGTGTGTCCTGGATCTCCTTTGGGGGTCTGAGGGCCTCTCTTCGGAAAGCACACTTCTGAATGCCAGGGTTTGCGTTCCCAGAGGGGCACTGTCCTGGTCAGCACGCCCCACACCCGGTGGTCCTCCAGCGGAGGTCACGTGCCAGGGTTCACGTTCCCAGGGGTCACTGTCCTGGCCAGCACGCCCGTCGCCCTGCAGGTCCTCCAGTGGAGGTCATGTGCCAGGCAGGGTTCACGTTCCCAGGGGGGCACTGTCCTGGCCAGCATGCCCCTCGCCCCACAGGTCCTCCAGCAGAGGTCACGTGTTGTTAAATTCATGCACAGCTCTCAGTTAAGCTTCCAGACCGAGAGCAACTAGGGAGAAAGGGCTTCCAGGAGTCAGCCAGGGAAAGCACTGAGCCCCCAGGGACTGCGCGGACCCAGGTCCCACCTCCCAGCAGCGGGCACCTCCATGCCACTGCCATGGACACTGGGAAATGCAGTGACTGGAGATCCAGGGGCGAAAACAGGGTCGGGGACCGCTCTCACTCAGCCATGGGCAGGGGACATGACCTCGGTGTACTAGAGTTATTATCGGTGGATAGACAGATGCCGTCCAGTCGACAGAGACGTGCAGCGACCCTGTGAGCGGCAGAGCTGAACTTCGCCCTGTCCAGCGCCAACCAATATGCTCGAGGCCATGGCCACAGTCACTAGGGAAACCCCTAGTTCTGAGGGTCTTCTCTTTCATGGACCCTTTCCTTTTCCCAGCATGATGTCTTTTTCCAAGGACCCGCCCTTCTGACAACATCTTAAAGTGTGTGAGATGAAGTTTCCCCATCCTTTTCTCTAAGGAGCGTCCTGGTTGCATTTCCTCCAAGACAGGCTTGTTTGTTCTTTTGGCAGATAGATAATAGATGGAAAGACAAAGCAATGATAGACAGATGAGGGACAGAGGGTAGGTCCCAGATGGTTAAATGCAGAACAGCTGCCATCCAGGCCCCACAGGGACAATGGGAGGGATCACGGCCAGTCCTTTGTCGCCCTCGCCAGAAGCTGCATGCTCCTGTCCATCATGGGCTACTGGGCTAATCCATCTCACCACGGGGCCCCTCGGCCTCTCTGCCCATCACTACCCACAACACCCCCCCAAGACTGATCCTCCTGGTGACATCACCGAATCAGGCTGGCCAAGGCCCCCTGAACCCTAGCAGGTCTGGTGACATCACTGACAGGTTGACCAAACCAGCACCACCACCCTCCGTGCTCCAGCAGGTGGGGGTGGCTGATTTTCACAATCCAGTTGCCAGACCCTTCTTCCCAATCTGTTTTGGTCAGGAAGTTCCACTGAAACTTGTCCTCCACAGTGACCTGCTGATGGGGTGACAGGTGGGGGAGAGTCTGGGCGACCCACTGGTAGGGGTGACCGGTGAGGGAGCATGCGGCATCACAGAAACACACAGTGACCAAAGTCATCAGTGGGTCAGGAGACGGGTGGGTGTCAAGTGAGGCAGCCACCACCTGGCACATCACCAGAGCTCAGGGAGTTCGCTCAGCTCTTGTGACTGTTTATCTCAATAACTAGGGTCACCCCTCAATGTCAGAAGTGCTAGAAAGTTCTGAGCAGGCACGCTCTAGCTGGTGGCCAGTTCACGCCGACGGTCACCTACTTGGATGACAGAAGCAGTGAGCGCGTTCAGGCTGCCATAATACACACCGTTGTCCTGAGTCAACAGGGCCAGTTCATTCTCATCTAGGAAGAAGAACAAAACAGACAGGAGGTGTGGTCTGTATTCCAGGGGTGCCAGTCACCTTGAATTGGCAGAAATGGCTCCGTTTCCCACTCACAGTTTGGCTTCCTCCAAGCAAAATCACTGCCCTGCCCTTTTCGCACTGCCAGGAAAACAAGAGTTCATGGAGAGAAGCCAAAGGATTCAAGAAAATGTAAAGTGATCAAACAAAGGTTACCCTCATGTCATCACCCTGTCCAGAGGCCAGCAAGCCTCTCTGGACATGCCTCATGGGGCCTGGACAACATACATCAGTGAGAGTGACTCTAAATAAAACTTTGTAGAGAAAACCAGGCAGATCTGACCTGCAGGCTCTGGCTGGCTGAGCCCTGACGTGGGGGTGTGCTTCTCCTTGGAGGGGTCAGACTAGAGCCTACAAATACCTCCCACAAAGGCTTCACCCCGAACAGGACATGCAGTGAGAAGCACCTGAAAGGACCCTGTCAGGAACATGACACCATTCATGAGGGAGGAGGTGAGGAGGATCGGAGGGGTAGCAGGGAAGGGGCTATGAGGAGAGAGGGTAGCAAAGAGTCAGGGAGGAAGAGAAGAAGGATGCAGAGGGAAGAGGGTGGGAGAAAGGAAAGAAAAAGGAGTTAAGGAAAAGGAGGGATGGAGGGAAGAGAGGACAGGGGGGGAGTGAGGGGTAGGGAGGAAGACGTGGGAGGGGAGAGAGCCGCCATGAGTGGGACACCAAACTCACTGCCACCGCAACTGTTCCAACCCACAGTGACTGAGGGACAGAGCAGTGCCACCCCACAAGGTACCAGCATCTGCAAAGCTTTTCTTATTTAAAAAAAAAATTTAACTTTTTAATTGTAATTTGAACAAAAGTTTACAGAAAAGTTGAATTTTCATTCATTCATTGTTACACATTTTCCTCCCTAACCCCCAATTGACTTAAAAAACAAACAAACAACAACAACAAAGAGATTGTCTTTTTTATTTGTGGGTTTCCCATATGGGAATAGGGGCACAGTCTCTCTGGCTGCTTCATGCTGCAGGGGCTACTTTCCTCCGTCTCCTCTTCCAGTACACCCATAAGTAACACCTCCAAAGCCCTTTTCTTTGTAACTCACAAGTTTGTTCCTTCTAGGTTTGCTCCCCTTCCAATAGGTAACCTGAACACTGAGTCTTGTTCCAGAACGTGAACCCTGAACCCAGGTCCAGAGACAAAAGGGAATTATTCCTGCCAGCTAAGGAAGCAAAGGTGGATGGAGCCTCCAAGTTCAGCTGGCCACTCCCACTGGACTCACCCACGCAAACACCTTGCAGTCCAGAGGGCAGAAAACATCATGAAAATATCTTCTAACTGAACAAGAAGGCATGCAGCTTCAACTCACGACCACCAGTAAAGCATGAAGATGGGCTCCCCTGGCCCTGCAAATCTTTTCTGAAGTGGAGTGCCTCATGCTTCTGCAGAGAGGCCACTGGGTTCAAATGATCAACCTTGCATTCAGAAGCCCACTTCTTAACCCTCTGTGACACCAAGGCCCTTAATCAACCAGACAGCAGGGCAGATATCATTACCTACAAGTTTTGAGCAGACAGACAGACACGGACCACAGGCTGGGACAGGGGCAGGAGGCACACCGACATTTGTCGCTGCCTAAAGACATCATAACCTGTCGCACTAACTGCCCCAACACGCCTGAGCCAGTAAAGTGCGTCAGCAAGAGCATTCTGCTAGCAAATCGCATTTTTAGTTCTTGGAAAATGATGAGGAGGGTGGGGGAAGCCAGCGGGAAAATCTACTTGCAGGGCCAGCTGAGGACTCGCGGATGGACATTCTAGCTTATCATCCGAGGGTGACACCTTGGTGACAGCTGGGCAGGAGGACACTGGCTGTCTTTTGTGGGTCGGGCTCATATCCCAGGTTGGTCTAGCAGGTCAGAGACCTTGGGGCCAGGAACGAGGGTTTCTAGAAAGCTTCCCGCAGCCCGGCACTCACTGGCAGCGATAGTGTGGATCATGAGGTTGGCCTCAAATATGGACGAATGCAGGACTTTGTCTCCCACGTTCACGGTGACGGTGTTGACAAGCTGGCCTGCAAGAGCAGAAGCATGAGAAAACAGAGAAGTAAACCCTTTGCTGTTGAGTTGATTTCAGCTCATGCACCCTCAGAGGGGGAGACCTGCCCCTCGGGGTCAGTGCAAAAGAGGAAGACCCTCAACAGGAGGGACGGGCAAGTGGATGCAATGGCGCTTCCAAAGCCAGCACCCACTGTGAGGCTGACAAGGCCCCGGAAAGCGCTTCCTCTGTCGTGCACAGGGTCGTTCTAAGTGGGAAGTGACTCAATGGCACCAGTGAAAGCAGGAATGCACTGGGGAGGCTGAGGGGCAGACGACTACGCTGCGCTCCTGCTTGCTGCTTCCACCTGCCCACTTGCTGTTAGGTAATACTTGCTGGGAGGCCTTGGAAGTCTGGGGCCCTGGCATCATGCCACTGCTGTTTGCTCAGGCTACAGAAGCCCCTTCCTCCCTCTCCGGGTGCAAAGATTCAGGCTGTTGACTCAGTAAACAATGCCTTGCTAAAACTCCTGCACGTCACTATCACAGAACTGCCAGTGTCTCTTGGTGTCTCAGGACAAAAGTCAAGTTACTGGTCTCTACCATTGTCTTACCCTTCTTCCACGGAGCCCCTGGGTGGGTTCAAACCACTGACCTTTCAGATAGCACCTGAGTGCTAACCACTGAGCCACCAGGACTCTCTCAAGTGTGAGGACGTGGCACAAATCCCAAAGGGACACTGGCCCCCTTTCTGCCTGCGAATCTCCTGCAAGCGTGCACTTATCACGTGATGATCAATACGTCCACAACACTGGGCTGCACACTTAAAAATGGGTGGTTAGGATGGCAAAGTTGTGTCACGAATGCTTTGGTGCAGTAATATGTTAAGGTGTTGTTGTTGTTGTTTTGTGCCATCAAGTTGCCTGAGAGCAACCCTATGTACAACAGTTCTAAACCCTGCTCTATCCTGAGCCAACCTTAGCACCTCACACACCCTCACCCCCATTACCCCAGCCACTGAGTCAATCCATCTCATCGAGTCCTCTTCTCCTGCACTGTCCCTCCACCCTCCCAAGCATGACGTCCCTCTCCAAGGACTGGGTGCCTCCTTGCACCCTGTCCAAAGTATGTCAGACAAAGCCTCAGAATCCTTGCCTCCACGAAGCCGCCTGGTTTCACCCTCTCCAGATGAACCTCTTTGTTCTTCTGGCAGTCCATGATATATTCAACATTTTTCTCCAGCACCGCGGCTCGAAGGCATCAATTCTCCTTCTATCATCCCCAGTCATCATCAAGCTTTCTGATGTATAGTATGTAATTACAAAGACCGTGGCCTGAATCAGGCACACCTTAGTCTCCAGACTGACATTGCTGCTCTTCAGTACTTTGGAGAGGTCCCTGACAGCTGACTTTCCCAGTGCAATTTGTCTTCTGAGCTTCTGGCTACTGGTACCAAGAGTGCTGATAGTGGAGCCAAGCAAACTAAAGCTGTGAACAATCTCAATCTCTTCACCATCCATTATGATGCTGCCCATCAGCCCAGTGGTGAGAATCCTGGTTTTCTTAATGTTGAGCTTCAGTCCATATTGAAGGCTGGAGTCCTTGACATGCAACAAGTGCTTCAGGTTCTCCTAAGTTTCAGCAAACAAGATTATATCATCTGTATAAGACAGGCTGTTGATGAGTTTTCCTCCAATCATGAGGCCACCCTCATCTTCAAAGAGCCCAGTCTCCCAGATGATCTCTTCTGCATATAGATTGAAGAGGTATGGAGATAGGACACATCCCTGGTGTACACCCTTCTCAGTTTTAACCCATGCAGTGTTTCCTTGCTCTGTTCTGACGGTTGCCTTCTGGTCCAAGTATAGATCTTGCATAAGGATAATCAAGTGTTCTGGGATTCCCATTCTTCCCAGAGTTAGCTACAGTTTGTTGTGATGTACACAGTCAAATGCCTTTGCATAGTCAATGAAACACAGATAGACATTCTTCTGGTATTCCCTGCTTTCAGCTAAGATCCATCTAACATCAGCTATAACATCCTTAATACCACAACTTCTAAACCCAGTCTGCACATCTGGCAATTCTCTGCAGATGTGCAATTCCAGTCAGGTTGGGTTTTTTGTGTTTTTTTTTATAATTTTCAGCAGAATCTTGTTTGCATGTGATATCAGTGATAGTGTTCGATAATTTCCTCACTCTGTTGAGTTACCTTCCTTTGGAATGGAAACAAATATTAATCTCTTCAAGTCAGTTAGCCAGATTGTTGTCCTCCAGATTTTTAAAAAAAAAATTTAATGAAAGTTTACAGAGACTTAGGGTTTCCAGTCATTCATTGTTGCACTTTTCTCCCTGCCCACTCTCTCGCCCCAATTCACTCTTCTTCTTGAAAAGAAAAACTCATTCATTGTTATGCAGTCCTGTCCTGCGCAGTCCTCACCATGGCTGACCCAACCCGCCCACTGCTGCAGTCACTGTGTCAGCCCACCTGCCTGAGGGTCTTCCTCTCCTTCACCGTCTCTCCACCTTTCCAAGTTTGATGTTCTTTTCCGAGGAGGGAAAAGCCTCTCCTAGTGACATGGCCAAAGTACATGAGACGAAGCTTCGCCTCCTTCCCAGAAAGTCTAGCCCCACCATGTTCCCAAGAGCATCACTTTGTGCGTCTGTGTCACATTTTCATAATTCTTTTTTTATTATTAATTGTAATGAAACTTTACAGAGACCTAGGGTTTCCATTCATTCACTGTTGCAATTTTCTCCCTGCTGACCCCCTCCCCCCAATTCATTCTTCTTGAAAAGTAAAAGAAAAACTCTTTCATTGTTATGTAATCCCTGGCCCCAAGTCCACTCCACTGTGTAGCCTTCATTCTGGACTGCTGTCATGACAATAATACCCAATCATATATCCCTCTTAAATGGTTCTCTCCCTCTTCTCTTTCAATACAGTGTACATCGTTCATTCCCTCCCTCTCTGTCTTCCCTCAACTCCGATGTCAGTCCTGTTTTACAATAGTGGCACTATGCAGTTTTTGTCCTTTTGTGACTGAGATATTTCATTCAACATAATGTCCTCCAGGGTGCCCCATTTTGTTTAATATTTCATGAGTTCCTTGTTTTTCAGTACTGCATAGTATTCCATTGTGTGAATATACCAGAGCTTCTTTAGCCATTCATTTGTTGATGGGCACTTGGGTTGTTTCCAGCTCTTTGCTATTGCGAACAAAGCCACAATTAACACGGGTGTGTATGTATCTGCTTGGGTGGTGGTTATGGTTTCTTTGGGGTATATTCCCAGTAGTGGAATTGCTGGGTCAAATGGTATCTCTATTTGCAACTTTTTGAGAAAGCTCCATACAGCCTTCCACAGTGGTTGCACCATTTTACACTCCCAACAGTGAATAAGGGTTCCAGTTTCTCCACAACCTCGCAAGCATTTGATGCTTGCTGTTCTGTTAAATTTTGCTATTCTTACTGGGATGGAATGATAACTCATAGTTGTTTTCATGATGTCTTTTTCAAGGATTGGCCCCTCCTGGCCACATGCCCAAAGTATGTGCAATGAAGTTCTAAAATCCTTCCGGCTAACAAACACCCAGACTGTACATCCTTCAAGATAGATTTGTTTATTCTAATCCATGGGACCTTCAATCCTCTTCCCCAACACCACAATTCAAAGGCATTGCCCAATTCACTGCCCAAGTTTTACACGAATATGAAGCAACTGAAAATCTATGACTTGGGCTCAGCACACCCTAGTTTTTAATGCGACAGCCTTGCTCTTTAGCACTTGAAAGAGGTCCTTGACAGCAGACTTTTAGTTTGTTGTTGTGGTGTGACTCAAGATGGAACCAACTCATAGTTCACCCTCCAGCGGGTTTTGAGAGGTTTTTAATCACACAGGAGACTGTCCAGCTTCTTCCGCGGAGCATTTGGGAGATTTGAACTGCATGCCTTAAGGTTGGCAGCACAATTTTTCACCAGTGAGGCCACTAGAGCACCCAAATTTTTAAGTTGTATAAAGAATGTCTTAGAAGGAGCAGGACAGTGTTGGTCCTGTGACAGTGCTCCTCTTTGTCTTTCTGGTTCCACAGCTCTTTGTCAAAGTGTTTCAGCGCCAGGATCCCGGGGCTGAAGGAGCTTTCCCTTGTAAGTCTAGCAGAATGGCAACAGTGGCCGGTCTGCACGTTATCAATCCACACTCCTCATTAGCATGTGCCACACCAACTCCAAGGGAGTCTGCGTGACAAAAATCACCCGATTGAGGTGAAAACTTCAAGGAAGTCAGCCTCTCAGAACGTGCGCTTTCTCCATGATTGTTCTTGGCCTTTCTGTAATTTCTCTTCTATTGTCTCTTTGTGTTTCCTATGTGGGACAGGGAAAAAAGGCTGTGTTCTTTACACAAAGTGTTCCTACTAAAAGTTTGTTAGATGTTCCCAGAAAGAACTAAATGGAGGTGACGACTTTAATATGCAAACGTTACCTCCGGTTCTTTTAGCATTACTAAAACTTCTCAAGAATAATATGATTTTAGGGGAATCCATGGATGCATTATAACAAAAAGAATTAATGGTGGAAATCCCAAAGATTTCTAGAATCCCAGAGATTCCTAGATTTCTAGGGTTTATAAGAACTCCTTCAAAGGAAAAATCCTTGCTCCCCACCATGAGAACACCAGGTGGAAGAATTGTTTATCTGTTAGGTAATGGTTGTTTGTGGCAACCCTCTATTGGGAGAGGCCCTTAGAGAATTCCAAAGCCTACAGATAAACCTCTTCCATATACTGGAGAATATAATGACTTTAATACAAAACACCCTGAAGGTTTTGTGTCTTGGGATATATTTTTCAAAAGGTTTGAAAGTGACCAGAGGGAAGATGTTATGAGAGGTATGTTGTTGTTGTTGTTGTTGTTGTTGTTGTTGTTGTTATGTGCCATCGAGTCGCTTGCGACTCATAGCGACCCTATGTACAACAGCCCTAAACTCTGCTCTGTCCTGTGCCAATTGCACTGTCCCTGACACTCCCATCCCGATTATCCCAGTCACTGAATCAATCCACCTCATAGAGGGTCTTCCCCTCCTGTGCCGTCCTTCCACCCTCCCAAGCATGATGTCCTTCTCCAAGGACCTGTCTCTCCTCACAACATGTCCAAAGTATGTTAGACGGAGCCTCAGAATCCTTGCGTCCAAGGAGCCACCCAGTTTAACCCTTTCCAGGATGAATCTGTTGTTTTCCTAGCATTCCACGGTATTCTCAATACTCTTCTCCAGCACCACAGCTCAAAGGCATCAATTCTCCTTGTATCCCCTTTGGTCATTGTCCAACTCTCTGATGCATAACAAGTGATTGCAAAGACCATGGCCTGTATCAAACGCACCTTAGTCTCCAGAGAGACACCATTGCTCTTCAGTACTTTGGAGAGGTCCCTAACAGCAGACTTTCCCATGGTAATGCGCCTTTTAATTTCCTGGCTACTGGTGCCAAGAGTGTTGACTGTGGAGCCAAGCAAACTAAAGCTGTGTACAATCTCAGTCTCTTCACCATCCATCCTGATGTTGCCAATTGGTCCAGTGCTGAGAATCTTTGTCTTCTTGACATTGAGCCTCAATCCATATTGTAGGCTGTAGTTCTTGACCCTCTTCAGCAGGTGCTTCAGGTCCTCTTCAGTTTCAGCCAGCAGGGTTGTGTCATCTGCATAACGCAGATGAGAGGTATAGGTGGCAAAATAAATCATGAAACATAAGATTGGGATGATGAATTTAGGCGATATTATGACCCAAAACATCTTTTGTATGAACCTAAACCCCCTTATTGAGATCGTGATCACCCCTGAAATAATGAAAGGCGTAAAATTATTGTCTCTTGAATGGAAATAAATAATATTGTAAATTCAGCTAAAAATGTAAAATGTATCAGCTTAAATTTAAAATGTAACTTTTTTACTTTGCAACTTTGTAACCCAAACAAGTTGGAAAACAGGTTTGAGAACAGGTTTAAAAAAATGTTTAAGCGAAAAGCCATTGTCTACCAAGCTCTCCAATTACCAAGGAACCATGACCATAAAAATAGCCTTTCATACTCTCCAAGGAACCATGACCATAAAGAATAGCTGTGTGCAAAAAAATAATGTAAACTTTATTCTTACTTTTATTGTCTTTTTGGCTATTGTTAAGCCCCAGTTGTAAAAATGGGATATAAATGTATCATGCAAAATGCAATAAGCAAGGAAGAAAGAAGGAGAATTAGAATTACTTAGAATTAAAATCATCAAGATCACTTGACTGTGTGTCTTGTGTTCTTTCACTGTCCCTCTGCAGAACTTCTACCCACCTCCATGTTCCCTCTTCGAGACCCTAGACCCCAGGCTTGCAGCCCCCAAGTGCAGCAGCCCGTGGCAAGCATGATCTCATCCAAGGGTAAGACAGTGACTAAGGATGACAGGAGAAGCTTGTGAGCTGTGGTATCAGAGAAGGGAGATGAATATACCATGAACTGCCCAAAGAACAAATAGGTATGTCTTGGGGAATGTGCCTCCAGAGTGCTCAAAGATGCTGAAACTTCGTCTAACGTACTTGGGGCATGTTGCTAGCAGAGGCTATTCCTGGAGAGGGACATCATGCTTGGGAAGGTTAAAAAATTAAATAAAGTTATTGTGGTACAATAGAGAACGAGACATCTGTGGTGCTAACCTATTTACGTTTACAATGGTGGCACTGTGACCAAGGCCAGGTGCTGGCTCCCATCAGCAGCAGCGCTGGGGGAGGAGGAATCCTGCCTCAGACAGCCCCGAGTGAGCTGGAACCCGTGATGCCACGGCTGTGGCTCTTGGGATGGGTCACCGTTGACCTGGGACCTTCCTGAGCCTGACTCACCTGAGTTTCTGGAGACCTGTAGGCTGTGCCCACTCCAGAGCACCAGGATGCCCTTCTGACCGGGGGCGATGAGGACCTCCAGGTTTTTACTGTAGTCAAACGGCAGCCCAAAGCTTCTGTCCAGGGGTGGGTCTGAGTATGCAAACTTGGCCTATAAGGAGAGACAGCTGAGGCCTAAGTGGTCATCACTGGACCACACGGCTGAAGTGGAGCAGATGTTATCATCCACCCTGCTCCCACCTGCCCCATCCAGTGGGGTTCACCTGGGAGGAGTCTGTCTGATCCATTCAGTTATCAGGATTGGGAGGGATGCTGTGGGCATTGTGAGGAGGTCACTGATTGGGCCTGCCCAGCCCAGTGGTGGGGAGAGGGGAGGCCAGGGATGCAGCTTCACATCCTGCAGTGCCCAGGATGCACCCCCCTCCTCAGAAGGCTCCCCGCCCCAGGGCGACACCATCTCTGTCCTGCTTGGATGGTCACAGGACTTGACTTTCCCAGGTTGGGGCATTGAGTCTGTCTCGAGGAAGCACTCCTTTGAGGTCATGATGGTGAAACTCCGTCTCACAGACTTGGGCATGTTGCTGGGGCGGGGTGGGGGCAGGCCATGGGAAAAAAGATATCATGCCAGGAAAAGTCAGCAAAAGAGAGGAAGACACTCAACAAGACGGACTGGCATAGTGACTGCAGCAGTAGGCTCGAACATGTAGAAGAGCCCAAGGATGGCACAGGACAGGACAGGGCTCTGATCTGTCGTTCACATCACAGGGTCTCTGCGTCAAAGCGGCTCCTTCGACTGAACAGCACAACCTTCCCAGATTCTTTTGCTAACATTCAAAAAACACCTTTGTGGCTGACTCTGAGAAGAATGGGAATCCCAAAACACTTGATGGTGCTTGTGCGAAGCTTATACTTGGACCAGGAGGCAGTCATCAGAACAGAGCAAGGGAACACTGCATGGTTCAGAATTGGAAAGAGTGTACACCAGGGATGTGTCCTGTCTCTGTATCTTTTCAATCTATTTGCAGAACAGATGATCTGGGAGGCTGGGCTCTATGAGGAGAAATGTGGGGTCAGGACTGGAGGAAGACTCAACAAGAATTTGTGTTATGCAGATGATGCAACCCTGAAGGACTAAAACTGAGAAAGACCTGAAGTGCCTGCTGGAGAGTGTCAAGGACTGCAGCCTTCAATATGGATTGAAGCTCAACACCAAGAAGACAAAGATTCTCTCCACTGGGCAGACTGGCAGCATCAGGATGGATGGTAAAGAGATTGAGATTATTAACAGCTTTAGTTTGGTTGGCTCCACAGTCAACAATCTTGGCATCAGCAGCCGGGAAATTAAAAGATGAATTACACAGGGAAAGTTTGCTGTCAGAGACCTCTCTAAATTACTGAAGAGCAACAATATCAGTCTGGAGACTAAGGTGCACCTGATCCAGGCCATAGTCTTTGCAATTACTTGCTATGCATCAGAAACCTGGACAATGACTAGGGATGATAGAAGGAGAATTGATGCCTTTGAGCTGTGAGGCTGGAGAACAGTATTGACTCTACCTAAGCTGAACACTTATGAAATTAGCTCTTTGTACCACCCAGGTCCTCTTCTAGCCTTTAATGGTGTTGTTAGGCACCACTGAGTCTAGTGCGCCTCACAGCGACTCTGTGAACAACAGTCTGGACCCTGTCCTGTCCTGTGCCGTCCTCTTCATCTTTGACATATTTGAGCCCACTGCTGCAGTCACTGTGTCAGCCCATCTGGTTAGGGGTCTTTCTCTCCTTTACTGCCCCTCCACCTTTCCAAGTATCATGTCCCTCTCCAAGGAAAAGCTTCTCCTATCAACATGCTCCAAATACGTGAGATGAAGCTTCACCATCCTTGCCTCCAAGGAGCACTCGGGCTGCACTTTTTCCAAGACACATCTGCTACTAGCCTGTACTCTTACTTAATATTTGTAGTGGGTTGAGCTAAGTTTCCCCACAATTGGTGTCAACTTGGCTAGGCCATGAATCAAAACACTTTGTAATTATCTCATGTGTTATAAGTCCTCAGCTTCATGATGTTAGCGATCCGCTGGCAAGGCCCTCTTTAAAGTGCTCAAGAGCAGAGGTCACTTTAAGGACTGAGGTGTGCCTGCTCCAACCCATTGTCTTATCTTTTTTTTTGTCACCACCACCCCCCAGAGATGGATGGCTTACTGCATCCAACTTGAGCATAATAAAGGCCCCACCTGCCACCTGTGGGAGTGTAAGGGCTTTTTCTCTCCATAAGCATCCTTGGTGGTGAGTTGCCTCTTTGCTCCCAAGCAGCCCAGATGCAGGACCTGGATTATTTACTGGATTACTGCTTCCAGTTTCCTTGGCTGTAGTTTCAAGTAAAATGAAATTCCTGACAATGTCAATCTTTACCCCATTTGTCGTGGTGCTGTGCACTGGCCCAGCTGTGAGGATTTCTGGTTCCTTGATTTTGAGCTGTCATACCATGGTATTTTTTTGATCGCTTCATATGCATGTGAAACTTGGATCTTGAATAGGGAAGACTGAAGAATTGATGCTTTTGAATTGGGTTGCGTGAGAAGAGCCCTGAATCTACCTTGGACGACCAAAAGACAAACAAATCTGTCTCAAAGGAAGTGCAGTAGCAAATAAGTCCATGCTTTGGGCTTGTCAGGAAAGGAAAATCCTTGGAGAAAGGCATCATCTCATAGTTCAGGAGAAATAATGACATTTGAAGATTAAATCGCACCTAATTTAGGTCGTGGTCTTTTTAATAACTTGCTATGCATGTGAGAGATGGGTAGTGAATAAGGATGACAGAAGAATTGATATCTTTTAGCTGTGGTGTTGGAGAAGAGCACGGAACATCTCATGTTCGGCCAAAAGAACAAACAGCTACGTCTTGGAGAGGGTGCAGCCAGAGTGCTCTTTGGAGGCAAAGATAGCAAAGCTTCATCTCACGTACTTTGGGAATGTTCGTAGGGGAGGCTGTTCCTTGACAAGGAACTTGGTGCTTGGAAAGGTGGAAGGACAGCGAAGGAGAGGAAGACCCTCGACCAGATGGATTGACACTGACTGCCGCAGTGGGCTCAAGTGTGTTGGAGATGACGAGGTTGGAACACGACAGGACAGGGGTCAGGTCTGTTGTCATACACTCGCTATGGGTCATACTCAACTCGACGGCACTTCACGACACCACAGGACACTTTAGTGACTGGAAGCCTGAGGGAAGCCGAATATCAAATTTAATAATAGTAGACCAAATGCTGTATCGGGAAATGAGAGAAGCTTAATACAAGCTGAAGGTCACCTTGTGACACTGGGGCATTCCTTAGGAGGTCACCTTGTGACACTGGGGCATTCCTTAGGAGTCAACATTGTTCTTAGTTTTTATCTAATGAATCCCTCCCTCTTGAGATTAACATAAAGAGGAACTTGGCCTTATCTGTAAA